TAGGAGGTTCAAACTTCACTTTTTCAAAATTCTGGTGATAATTATGACTTATTTATCTGTTCCTCCAGTTTATAAAAGTCTGCCAAATGATGTAGTAATGTATGCATATTACTGCTGCAGGTGTAACAGCATATTTACATATTATTTATCAGGAAATATAAAAGGATGAGCTTTGGTTTTGTTATTTGAAATTACATGGTAGTATTAGGTTGGGATAAGTGGCAATGATTTGACATGCTAACTCACTTTAAATGCAGTTTTTAAACACTTTAAATACATACTGTTTTATTATCTGTTTGACTTGGTTCTCAAAGCTCATGTGTAATCAAAACCAATGCATTTCCTTAATAAACAAGGCTTTGTGCTTATGTTAACATATTGACCTGTCCAATGCTTTAATGTAAAACATGATATAAAGATTAAATAATAGTAAGACAGGGAAGTTATGTTAATATGTGAAATGCCAACAAGAAGGTTTAAAAAGACCAAGGCATCACAATTCAATTGGTCATTTTAAAGGATTGTTAACATGGTATCATATATTGCACAACATAACACTGAACAGCAAGGAGTAAGAGAGAGAAAATATGGGATAAATAGAAGCAAATATACACTAAGGTTGAAAACTAAATCCTAATGATAGAACACAAATATGACAGCTGTGTCAAAAGTGGATCCAATTAAACACCAACTCTTGGGATGAAATACAAATGCTTTGGTTGAGACAAACAGCACACCATGAGACAAATGTTTGAGATCAGGAACCATGTCCCAGGGATAACATACATGCTCTGGTTGAAATACCCACTGAATAAAACAGACTTCAGATGAAACAAACACTTTGAAAAGTGCGGTAGGTGAGACACAAATGTGTTGTTGGGTGAGACAGACCTTGATGACCTTGACCTTCTGTCTGTCATGCATGCCTCTGAATCCTGCTTGGATCTTTGTGGCAGCATGGCTTTCTGCTGCCTATGTAAATGACAACACCTGCTTTCATCTGATTGAAAATTGTTACAAAATACTTTCCACAAAATCCTATAATTCTGATTATTATCTTGCCAAAATTGTGTGAAAAAGACTGAATTATCAAAACAGTCCATTCACCTTCAAACAAGGTATAGGAGAATTAAGATTTAAATTAAAAGCATATTAAAAAATTATCATCATTACTATCAGAGAAACCTTTATACTAGATATTATAATAAGGCAAAGTGAAATGAGATTAAAATATCACAATATAACCAGATCAATAAGAAATGTTCTTAATATGTAGCAATATTTCATTGCATCTAAAGAATAAAATGACATCATAATTTGTACCACCAAATATAAAAAACACACCTTCATTTTCTTCACTTCCTTTCTGGCCTTCATGCCTCGAAAACCAGCCTCAATTTTTGTAGCTGCTTTTGACTCCACCTCCTGCATAGAATATCATATGATATGCTCTACCATAACCCATCATATTACACTATAAACTATGTAATCGTTTAGTTCTTTTAAAAGATGATAAAATGTTATTTTTTATGAAAAATATATATAAAGTTTAGTTGGAACTGTTTCAGATATTCAATATCATTCAATATAAGACAAAATGAAACTATAGAACTTTAGGGAGGGGGTACATAACAAGGATAATATTTTGACTTTAAGCAGTATTACCCTGCCATCAAAATATCCTGGAATTAATTCCATTTGAAATACCCAAACAATTCCGGGGGCAGAGTGGAAAATGCACACGAGAAACAACATTCTGTCACACAAAAGGACAACAAGCAGAATTACCTTCTTTATCCACTTCATTGTCAAATACATATGATGTGAAATACCATTTTCATGCTTTTTCACGATAGGAAAAGGATTTAAATCCACTTTATACATAATCACATGCAAAGTGGTAATTTCGAACAATGACAGATTACTGACCTCTCAAGGATGTAGATGAAAAGGAATCTCAAGAAAATAAGCCTTTGTAAAACTAGTAAAATGCATACTTCAGTATTTAATAACCCAGGACAGCACTGGCTGAGCCAAGTCCCATGCTATCAATATGTCAGGTGAGATATTTAATAACCCAGGACCACACTGGGTGAGCTAAGTCCCATGCTATCAATGTGTCAGGTGAGACAGACCTTCATAACCTGGACCTGGTGCCTGACATGCATGCCACGGAATCCTGCCTGGATCTTGGTTGCTGCTTCAACCTCTCTTTCCTATTGTATGAATGTTTAACAAGTCACCTGATATTATGCATGTACATATAAATTATAATAAGTTAATAAGAAGCAAGCTAGATATACTTTCAATCAGAAATCCATGTTTAAGTGTTCAAATACATTATGCTGAGAACTATTTTTCTGTATTTAATAGATATTTTGCCAGTTGGAAGATAAAATGTGGCAAAGTGAACAAATGTTTCAGACAACCATCATTATTTACTCCACAATTCCTGTGATATCAATGGTAGCACACATAACTGTAGTTATTAGTTATAACATTAATGACCAGTTCTGAAAAGAGAATGCTAGAAACCTGCATCTGTCAATATTTTTCAGCCATTCTGTGGAATTATAGTGCTGTGAAAGAACACAATATGCACAAGTCTGTGAAGAATGCTTAACAACCATAAGATACCACTTTTGTGTTAACTGAACAGTGCACAGTGCTTATAGTAACCCAAATAGCAACCTTACCCTGCAGACAAAAATATTCTTAGAACCATGTGTGCAATGACATTCCAATATTTGGGTGTACAATTTAGACTTCAAATTGGATCATTTAAATCAATAAAAATGTTGGTAAGCTGATATTAATTTTAAACCACAGATTACAGGTTATCTGTAGTCAATCATGTAATTCCCACCTAACAATAGTCTGCTTAATGTATCTCAGTAGGTGTAAAAACAAACCTTCATATGCCGGACATCTCTTCTGGCCTTCATTCCCCTAAAGCCTGCTTCTATTTTTGTAGCTGCTTCTGTTTCTACTTCCTGTGATTATATCAAATCAGATAAGAGAACAGTATATATTTAAATAAAGAGGCTTTAGGTTGTGCCTCTGTATTAAATTAAGGCTTTCTTCTGATATATTTATACTTGGAATTTCACTCAAATCTCCTTGAAAGTTTTATATGTAACATTAGTCAAATTTTCACACCTTTTTATGTTTGATTTCTTCTCTGGCTTTCATACCACGATAAGCTGCTTCAATTTTTGTGGCTGCTTCTGTCTCTACCATCTGTGATTGCAAACAGTAAATATCTTTTGCATCAAAACCTTTGTCTTCTACTCACACAAAAAGTGGGTTAAAATTCTTGAAAAATGACAGTTTCTACCATTTAACTCTTATATTACAGTAGACTCTCTTTTTACTTTCTACTTATAAATAAAATTATTTTGTATAATTTCTGTTGTATTTTAAAATCCTTCTGTGTTTGAATTATTTTCTTGCCTTCATACAAAGATACCCAGTATTTATTGTTATATATAGTTCCTGCATCTGACTATTTTATAATGAGTGATGGAAAGTAAATGTAATCTCATTCATTATAAAGGATATTGGTGAAAATAAATGACAGAACCTATCAGTGAAGAAATCTAAAAAGATAAGTATTTGTATCTCTTACTTTTCAGAATTTAATACAACCTTTCATAATGTGCACAAGAAGACTGTTACAAATAAACTCAAATTTATTTTTTTTTCTAACCTTTTTATGCTTAACTTCTTTTCTGGCATGCATTCCACGGAATGCTGCTTCAATTTTAATGGCAGCTTCTGTTTCTACTTCCTATGATGACAAACAAGATATTAGAGACTGACTACACAGAATCATTCAAGTAGTTTATCAGTAAACCAAAATATCATTCTTTGCATCAATACTATTTTTTTCTTTAAAATCTCAATCTTAATCCTATCTCATTTATTTCAAACATGCCCCAAGTATTAGACAGTTTCTCAAACCTTCTTTAGTTTAACTTCTTTTCTGGCATGCATTCCACGGAATGCTGCTTCAATTTTAGTGGCAGCTTCTGTTTCTACTTCCTAGAATAACAGACTTATGCAATGAGAGACAGAATAGTTAGAATCATTCAGGAAATTTATCACTTATCCAAAATATCCTTTTTTTGCATCAATATATAATTCTTTCATAAATGCTTTTTTCTTTAAGACCTAAATCCTATTTCTTTTATTTCAAACATGCCTCAAGTATAAGACAGTTTCTCAAACCTTCTTTAGTTTAACTTCTTTTCTGGCATGCATTCCACGGAATGCTGCTTCAATTTTAGTGGCAGCTTCTGTTTCTACTTCCTAGAATAATAGACTTAAGCAATGAGAGACAGAATAGTTAGAATCATTCAGGAAATTTATCACTTAACCAAAATATCCTTTTTTTTTTGCATCAATATATAATTTTTTTGTAAATGCTTTTTTCTTTAAGAGCTAAATCCTATATCATCAATTTCAAATGTAGCAGAAGTTTTAGAGAGCTTCTCAAACCTTCTTATGTTTGACTTCTTTTCTGGCTTTCATACCACGAAAACCTGCCTCAATTTTTGTTGCAGCTTCTGTTTTAACAGCCTGGGATAATAAAAGGTGTTTCATATATTTATCAAGTTCATGCTAGTTAAATCAGTGGAATTTAGATTTGATTGCCATAATAAGGCAAAGGAAAATAGATTTAAAGACTACCATGTAAAAAATAATATATTAAAGTATTTTTTACTTGCTACTATATAAGTTAATCTTCTTAATAAAAATACAAATTGAAAGTAAATCTTGAATAATGAGTGATGGAATATTTTGTGGATGTTTTCATTACAAGTAACTGTTACATTGACAAGGTGCATATACCTGTTCATTTAACATGCAGTTGCATCTCATAACATTTAAAATGCCAAGTCACACTGACTGAAAATACATTGTAGTTAATTAATTACCAGTATCAGAATTAATCTTGTTATATTGTCATACCAAGATGACCTTTCAGCAAGTCTTTATCAATAACATAACTTGTTTTATTGGCTCTTTATTATTTTTCTATGTATCAAAATGATCCATATAAAATCTCAATGTCATTTGCAAACCATCCGCATGCTTACACTGTGATGTCATTCTAAAACTTATCATTTCAAATTTAGGCATACTTCAATTAAACTCACAACCAAGCCATAAACAAATCTTAATACCATGCTCAAGACATGGAAAATTCATCCACCAAAGGCCATTCAGTTTAAAGCTTTTTCCACTCATTATGTTCCAATATACACCTAAAGCAATAGGGATTTTGGTGAAAGGTACCAAAACAAAACATATTGACAACGAACTGTAATGCATTAAGTTCATGATCTCAAACAAAACTGACTGCTTTTGAATTACAGAATAAATGGCATGCAAACTGTATTCCATAAATAATATTCCAGGAAAAAAAAGATGTAATATTTTTCTAAAATTGAGCTAAAAAATGCATTATCCTGTCTTAATTTTCTCAAAAATCTGTGTCAGATATTTCATGGTATTTATGAGAAAATTGGAAAAATTTCAGATAAATTAACTTTGTTTCTTTGCTTTGTGTTTCACCACCAAAACCCTTTTAAGCATAATATCTTTTGCATACATGCATATGTAAGATGGTTGTTCAACCATGTTTTCCAAAGTTCTAGTTCAAATAACTGCAAAGACAAAGAGAAAATTATATCAAAATGCAAAACAACATTCTAAAACACCTAAAGGCATAAGTAGTTGAAATATTGCAGACTTTTTTCTATCCAAAACCCTTCATATTTCAACATGCCAATCAATGGATATGTGCCACTGAAAAAGCCTCATTACTGTAACATCTGACCTTCAAGACCTTGACTCGTCTTCGTGTTTTCATACCCCTAAAACCTGCCTGAATCTTGACTGCTGCAGACCTACGAACCTATGGTGACAGAAGCAAAGAGTATACAGAATAGCTTAAAGCCTAAAAGAGAAAAACAAAAGAATAAAAAAGAAAAAAAATAGTACAAGACATCAAGAGACAGCTAGCTAGTATATCTGTAAAATGCAACTTTTAAGGGAATCAAAAAAGTTAAGTTTCAAGGTTGAAAATAGCCAAAAAAAAAGAAAAAAAAAGTAATGATATATCTTTCATATTAAGTCTAAACAGTGAACTCATGCAAATTGTATCCCCCAAACCTTGAGAGCTTGGACTTTATGGCGGGCCCTCATGCCCCGAAAGCCTGCTTGGATTTTAACTGCTGCTGCAGTCTGAGCCTGACAAATACAATAGCACGTAAGGTCACAGTGACTGTTACTGCTGCAGTCTGAGCCTGACAAATACAATAGCACGTAAGGTCACAGTGACTGTTACTGCTGCAGTCTGAGCCTGACAAATACAACAGCACATAAGGTCACAGTTACTGTTACTGCTGCAGTCTGAGCCTGACAAATACAACAGCACATAAGGTCACAGTTACTGTTACTGCTGCAGTCTGAGCCTGACAAATACAATAACATGTAAGGTCACAGTGACTGTTAATGTTGATGCAAAACTAAAATCTGCATTTTTAATATCACAGAGAATTGGTATAATGATGTAAATCCACAAGTCATGGTGTTCTATATTCTTTGATAATTGATTTGAATTAATCAACTAGGATTCTATGTATATACCACCAACAGAAACTCATCACTAAGTTCTTTTTGATTGTACACTTGATTTGTTCATTTTATAAAAAGTCAGAGACAACCTGTTCACTGTTGTGAGTGAAATTGGTACCTATCAATGAATATCATTGAAAATTTAATTTCCTTCAATTCATTGACATTTTAGACAAATGTACTGTACACAGATTTTTCACATTACTTATGACAAGTAAAATCAGTTAAAATTGAAACTGATCTGCCCATGCATATCAACATCCATAAATGCCTTCACTGAAATGTAAATAATGCAGGAAACTAAACTTACATCTGAAATATCCAAGAAGTGAGCAAATAGTTGTCAACTCCCAAAACCTAGTACCAATGTGTTAGTAGTGGCTCATTCAAAATTATTGCATCCATGTATCTAAGACCGCATTCACAACGAGTTGAGCCATGGCTCTACAAATCCACGAACTAAATATGGCGGACGTACATGAAAGAAAAAATGCCTAATCTTTTAATAGTCTCTCCGCCTCTCACGCGCCTCCCCATGTGTCGTCCCTGCGGGGGTACAGTCATTAAATCTCTGCTCCATTGGGATGACACATGGGGAGGCGTGTGAGAGGCAGAGAGACTATGAAAAGATTAGGCGGTTTTTCTTTCATGTACGTCCGCCATATTTAGATCGTGGATTTGTAGAACCATGGCTTAACTCGTTGTACATGTAAATGCAGTCTAACTGTTAGTGAAAAAAATGGGTTGGCATAAGGGTACAGGAAGGACATCAAGACAGAAGATAATCCCACTTCAAAATCACATATCTCCAGTCAAGACAGAAGACATCCCACTTCAAAATCACAAACCTTAACAGCCTTCACATTTTTGCGTGCTTTCATGCCCTTAAAGCCAGCCTGGATTTTAGTTGCAGCTTTCTCTACTTCTGGGTCATTAAGATCTATATCTATCTCCTCCTCTTCCTCCTCTACAGTGGCAGAAGCAGGCTCCTGTGAGGGTGCCATGTTAGCGTCATCATGTGCTGACTGGTTGGAAAAAGCAGAAGCAAAACAATACTAAACAATGCAAAGCTATTGGTTAATATAATAATAGTGCACTATCATCTGGATGGTGACATGCTTACAGTGAAAACTTGGAGATGATTAACTAAATATATGCAATAATATTATGCAAACAACAACAAAATTTCAAGTCATGTTAATGTGCAATTTGTGCAAAATAAAAAAAAAAACAGCATACATTTTCATGATTTAGACAAAGCCATGCAAAAACAATCAAACAAATGATTAAAATTTTGCAGTAGCTCACAATGTATTTATATACAAATCAAGCATTTAACATAAGAACACGTGTCTGCTTAATTGCATTCCACTTACACTAAAAATGTAAACATTTTACAAAAACAAAGTTTATATAACAATAATAATAACAGAACAAACTTTGAAAACAAGAAATTTCTTAGCTTAGTTGAATTGTGGATGCTGACAAACTCAGAATAAGTGACAATGGGTAAACCAGTGAACTGATATCATTACAACAATCAATTGTTAAAGCGGTAAATAGATTGACAGAAAGATTGCAAAGTACCAAAACTTAAAAGAATGAAAATAAAATTTGTGGAAAAAATATTAAAAGTCTATATAATAGTGAAGAAAAACAGAATGAAAAAAACATTCACAGAACAAGAACAGACTTAAACACACCAAAAATAACATATAAGGGGAACCAGGATAGAAAACTAGAGACATAGGGCCATCTACAGGAACAAGTCAAGAGAGAGAGAGCAGGCAGCCATGGTAAGAGGGTTGGTGAAGAAATGGTGACACTCATTGTGACAGGTGGTAACAATTAAAACAGATGAGACAAAAGACAGCAGCCACATATAACAGACAGAGCACTAGAAATTAAACATTCAGTTATATATTTGTAGATCCACATTGTTAACCACAGCCACATGAAATGTATAGAAAGAGCACTAGAAAACAATCACTTAAATATTTGTAGATCCACATTGTTAACAGCAGCCACATGAAACGTACAGACAGAGCACTAGAAAACACTATTTGCAGATTCACACTGTTAAAAAAGACTATGAAAGTTTCAGATCATTCACAAGACAGGAGATCTACATAAAGAAAACATAAAGAGTGGGTCTCTGGCTCAGAAGTCAAAGGAGAACTGGTATCTTACTGTTTTCATATCACTGACTTGCTTCCTTGCCTTCATCCCTTTAAACCCTGCCTGTAATTAACAGATTAGGGAGTATTATAAGTTAGAATTAACTTTACAAAATAATACAATATTCTACGTACTTGTACATGTGGCCACTACTTTCCAACAGTCTGTACAACTACTGTGCCACACTGGTGTCAACATCAGTCTGTACAACTACTGTGCCACACTGGTGTCAACATCAGTCTGTACGTCACTGCGCCACATTGGTGTCAACATCAGAGGCACATGTCAAATTAACAACAGTGGGAGGTACTGATTGAACTATATCCAAAATATATGGAGCCAATTTGTAATGTTTTCCTGCCATCATATACCAGCATGTACCTGTCTTATTTTGGCTTTTTAAATAAATTACTTAAAAGTTTTCAACCTTTTTTTCTTTTCTTTTTCTTTCTTTTGATGAACAATAAAATTAAAAAAATTGCTACCCCTGACCTATGGGTTTATCTTATCTGGTACAGGCATCAATTGTCTTTCGAGGCCAGGGAATCAATGGCACCTTCATGTATTGGAGTAAAGCACTTTAGAAAAACGAAGGGAAGATCTGTGCAAAACTTTCTTTTACAAAATGACTGAATCCTCTGACAAATTGAATCACATCTTAATTGAGCATCCCAATCGTCTTTTAAGATCTAACAACAGATACAAAGTGCCAAAATTTAAGACAGACAGATTCCGATGCTCTTTTATTCCATATGCACTTTTAAATTTCCAATAGTATTATGCTGTCTTTTATCCTAAGTACAATAATTTTAAAGTTCAGTTAGCAGTCTTTTAACTCAGTTTTATTCATGCAAATATTCATTTTATACTCATTATATATATATATATATATATATATATATATATATATATATATATATATATATATATATTTTTTTTTTTTTTTTTTTTTTAATTTTTTTTTTTAACATTCTATGTACAACTTCAACCCACTGGGTTGCAATCTTAATAAATTATTATTATTATTTATTATTATTATTATTATTATAAATTATTTCTCTCAGGGACACCACTTTATAAGAAAGCCAAAGATTACAAGATGTGGGAGTCTCTCTATGCAGTACCTAATACAATAGTCTACATATTCCACAGCTTTATAAGAATTGTGGTTATAAATGAAATATAGTTTGTTTTCACAGAAACAATAAATGGTAAAAAATTACATTTACTATAAATTTCACCTGAAATACAAGCATTATTGTACTTGGTTTGAGAAATCCTCTTCTTTGAAATTTTCTTTCTTCTGATATTGATATGGAAAACATTTTCTACCTCGGAGAGAATAAATTTGACCATTTCTACATCCATCTCTGGCCTTACCTGTATTTTTGTTGCAGCTTTTTCCACCTCTGGGTCAGTGAGGTCAATGTCCACTTCCTCCTCTGCCTGGGGCGTGTCCTCGGCACTTGGGGCAGCACCTGCTTTGTTCTTCTTCCTGGCATCTCTGGCTTGCTTCTGTTTTTCATATTCTTCTGGGTCTCTGGAAAATTCATAAAGAAGAAAATCTATTACCGACATGTCATTCTTTGCAAGGAAAATAAATCTTGTAACAATTAAGTACATGCCTATCTCCTCCATAACAATTATTTTGTTGAACTTTGGCAATATCATCCCCCTCTCCCTCTTCTTTATATTGCGATTCCACCTTCACTTACTAACTATAACCTGGATATCATGCATCCATCACAAAGAATTTAGTTGGAAAAGTAAAGCAGACTATAAAACTATTTAATTATGTGGTGCCTTTATTTTTAATGATTAACACTTTGCCAAAATGGTACTAACAACTGGATACTTAGTTTTAAGTCATATAACAGGGAATTTTATAATATGAGAACAGCACTTAAAATAGGCATTTAGAACTGTATTTATAACATAATATGTAAACTGTATCTGTAACAGGCAAGTTTACAACAGTTTAACAGCATTTATAACAGGCAATTAAAATTATGTTAACAGCATTTATAACAGGCAATTATAATATATTTTAACAACATTTATAACAGGCAATTATATGTTAACAGCAGATGTTAGCTGCATCTACATGTATATCAGACAGATCATTCAACTTATAACTGGTATGAAAACTTTGCAGTCTGAAAACAAGGTAAATGTCTGCTGAAATATAAAAAGACTTAATTCCAAATATATTATATCAATTATAATAAAAAGCAAAATATATTATATCAATTATGATAAGAAGCAAAATCATAATTAGGCCTCTAAAATAAAAAATAAAAACATTTTTGCTAAGATCAAGAGAAGGTACTTCATCAACTTTCAATAATATTTAGAATGATTTTTTTTTTCATTTTTTCATGAACACGGACACAACTTTTGTCAACTACAAATCCTTTGAGTTTTCTTTATAGAATCATCAATGTTATGCCATAATTGCAGAATGGCCAAATGTGTCGTGTCACACTATGAAAAATACGGAATTATCAAAGTACTGACAAGCAATTCCACATGATAGGTGACAGCAGCCACAGCCTTTAACACGGATACAGGTCTAAAAACAGTAAGCAGCAGATGATGGAAATGTGTATCTTCCTATGATTTAAGGTTTAGAGGGATCTCTATACACCAGCACTGAGGCATCTCACCGTTCCTCTCACAATCATTATCAGTGGTTAGCTCATAGTGTTTTCAAAGTTCTCAATACAATCTGACCCGATGTGACTGAACTGTTCCTGACTTTGTCTATGTTAAAAAAAGTTGCTGTGAGAAAATAAACAGAAATGGAATAATAATAAAATCACCTTACCCATCTTGCTGTTCATCCTCTGAGCTATATAATGTCATGAAGCTAAATTTAACACAACTTCATTTCCTCATAACAAAACAACTTCATAAGAAATCATAGTTTGATCTGAGTTTTTTACACACAGACATTCAAACAATTAAGATTCACACTGTTTATGAAGGGATCTATTTATCATTTCAGACAGCATAATACAATCCAGGTAATGTCTGTCTTCACAGTGTTTGCTGTTTTTTCTACATGAATGTTATAACTTATACAGAGATAAATAAACACAACCCAAATTAAGAGGCTTAATTCAAATTTACAAAAGCTCAAAGAAGATGTTCCAAGTTCCTTTTACAGCACCAAACAGATGTCATTCAGAACAAGTTCACTAACAAGATCCATGGACTAAATATGGCTGTCTCACTTAAAAGTAATGATGATTAATACCCTGATGTGTGTGTGTGTGTGTGTGTGTGTGTGTGTGTGTGTGTTCATGCAAACTTACTTCATCTTGAGCACTCTCTGTCTGCCCTGGAATCCCCGGTATCCTGACTGGATCATGATGGCTGCCTGGTCTTCCCTCATCTCTTGCACCTCCTGTGTGGCAGCATGCTGACGATACTTGGTCTGAATCTTCACCGCAGCTTCTTGCTGCTGGGGGTCGCCACTGTCTATGTCAGGTTTCTGCAGACATAGAAATTTAGAAGAGTGAAAACCATAGGCTTATCCATTCAACTCAACCTTTCACTGAAAGTGTTGGAACAGGTATGAATGTTAAAATATAGTAGTAGTAGGGCCTTGCAGATTTTACAGTAATTCTGCAGGTCTCAGTGATACTAAGTGAAGAACTGTTTCATGCAGATGTTTTAAGAATATCTGCACTGTCTGTAACACAAGAAGTAAAACAAAGGCAGTTCTCCTTTGCCCAACCTCTTTCCAACTATATGCCACTAAATCACTCACAAAGGTGGATCCCCTCATTTCTTCTGATACCTTTTCCTTTTCTTGCAGACACGGGTGACTATAAACCCCCACATACAGTACATGCATACACATACACATTACCTTGAAAGCTTTGTTGTTATAGAACCTGTCTTCAAGCTTGGCACCATGCTCGACAGGGTCAATGCCTTCCTCTGGAATAGAACATATAGCAAAGTTTTATATAAAATATGAATCTACATGGTCAATGCCTTCCTCTGAAAAAGAACATATAGCAAAGTTTTATACCACGCTTCAACATCATGTCAATGTAGACACTCTCCATTATACCACACTTCAACATCATGTCAATGTAGACACTCTCCATTATACCACACTTCAACATCATGTCAATGTAGACACTCTCTATTATACCACACTTAGCACCATGTCAAGAGGATCAACACAGCACTATTAGCTTTTCTCATTCTGATCATTACTCTCTTAGACTGCATTCCCACAAATTTTTAGATCGTTCTATCCCCCTGGGGAGTCTCACTAGATTGGTGTCAGCTTAACCAGCTTAAATGTCTATCTCGCCTACTAAAAGCTGTAAGGGGGTAATTAACCATAGTGCACGCTCGGCTGACAGCAGTTTAGCATGAACCCCCAGGGAGTTAGGTCAATATAGATAGATCGATCTAAATCTGTGGGAATGCAGTTTTTATCACCAAAGCTTTTCTTCTATTTTGTAAATGGAGTCAACAACATAAAACCAGGCTCTGTTCACTGTATATATAGGGCATGGGAAAAGTAAGTCAAGTTTAACAAAATTTTTTTAAAAAACACTAGTAACAAGTAAGTAAATATCTTAGCTGTCAAGGCAGTTAAAATTTGTTTATCACCCACTTAATGGTAAAAAATATCTGTGTCCTAGATAGTAAAAGTTTTGATCAAGAACACATGTATTACCAAGAATATGCTGAAGCAAAATGGTCAAAATAGACTATGAAAATGTGTGTGTAGATTTATTGCCAGACGTACAGAAGGTTTGCAAATGAAACTGATGTTTGAAAACAGCTTTAAAATGTTTCTAGCCTTTTCTATAAGTGCTCAAACAGCCAAGTCCATGCCAGTTAATTAAAAGCTATAAATACACTCCAATCAGAGTCTGTGGTGTGACATTATTCCCTAGGCAGACTTAGGAATATGTATGTATGCAGCTAGTTTGGTGTAGAAGAAAAGTGTCTATTAACACTTATATTAATAGACTTATACCTGGGTCTCAAGAGGTCCAAAGGCCAACAGCAAAGACTACAACTTACCTTTTATAGCCAAAATCATCGGTCTGGAACTCCCCTCTCTAGGTGCCATCTATACTAATAGATCAGTAACAAAAACAGAGAAAATCATGTCTGACTATACCCACCCCGCACATGGGCTTTTTAAATTTTTACCGAGCAACTGCAGGCTTTTAACTTTTAAGGGATCTAAAAGGTTTTTAAAGAGTTTTTACCCATCTGCTGTGTCTTATTTTAACAACAAAAATGGAAATTTATAATTTATTTATTTATAATTTGTAACCCGAATAGCAGTCCAATTTCCGTTTTATATGAATTTTATATTTATATATTAATGGCTGAATAAACTCTTATCTTATCTTATTTTAAAACATTAATTATATATATAGATTTATGCTTGTAACAAAGTTAAATAGCACTGCTATGGAAAGTTAAAACCTTTAGGAGTTCACAGGTACCAAAAATGGATCCTTGCCTCTGGAAAGAAGTACAATTTAAGGTGCATCTTATTGTACTAATTTTGGTTGATCAATCCAGCTAATTTATACTTGATATGATATTTACATGCAGTTGCAGTGAGCATAACTTGCAATAATTCTGGTAATGGAGGTGAATTAAGTCAGGTGTAGTACCTGGCAATAATATGAGTATTTGTAGTGAACATGTTCACATCGATCATGAACACAATACATTACATGCTAGTTTGCTGTCCAACTCTTCAATACATCAAGAGACTTCAATCAATTAAGCACCCAACTGTTCTATACAGTCCTTAGTGTAAATCTTTAAGCCTTATTGACTTACAATTAATGCCAGGGGATACTCAAAAACCAATCCATGATATTACATTATAGAACAGAGAGAGAGAGAGAGAGAGAGAGAGAGAGAGAGAGATTGATTTGCTATGGACCCTCCTGGCTACATTAACATTTCATCACTGGACCCACCTCCATTTAAAAAGATAGGAGCTCCTTCCTCCTCCTCCATCCCCTGCCTTTCCTCCTCAGGCCCAGAGTCATCATATTCTGAGCTAGAGTCCTTATGGACCCTCTCAGATAAAAACTGTTTCAACTTTTTCTCCTGCCAAGCTTGTTTTAGCTCCTGTTTAAATTCCGTGACATCTTCCGTCCAGTCCTCCAGGTCTTGCTTTACATGGTCCAGTTTGTTCCCCATCACTGACTTATGTGACACTCTTAAGGAATCGACTTTTTAAAAGTTATTGAATTAATACCAGAGCCTCTTCTGGCTACATGGAGTCTCCAACCTGTGCACCTTCAAGATAAACTAGTAATATGCTTTCCTGAAATTTTACTAGCAAGCCTGTGTTCACATAGACATCCTTCTTTTCACCATTCACTGTGAATCATAAGCCTTAACACTGATATACTATCCACCTTCAATATGTGTGCATAGTGGTGTCACTTAATTATCAGTAGACATCACAGAAAAATTATAAGATATCCTGAATATGTGGTCTCCTTGCAATGAACTGAAATACTTTCTGTAAATTTTCCAAACTTCATCTACATGTATGTTAAAGGCCAAAGTATCTATCCCACAGAGTCTGTATCAATTGTGACATATACAACAGTACATGGATAACAACCTGAAGATATATTCAACTGTGACAGCTATGTAACATGACTATAGATCTTGAAGATATTGGGTACTATTCAATAGCAACAGAGTCACTGTATTCCAGTGGTTAGTCAAGAGGAGTGGGATTCAACTCCAAAAGAGAGCAACTGGTACAATTCCCTGCCATAAAATTCCAATATTAAGAATATTAGAATTCAAACAGCTCTGCTTTTTAGCTTTTTTATCAAGTTTATTGTCCAAAGATGGCCAGCCATATGTTATGATATATGTATAGTGACAGCAGGAATGAGATCCCAGGGTCTGAAATGTCTTTCCTATGTACTTTAACAGACAGCTCCACACGTGTGTGTCTTCCCCATGAAGTCAGTGTTCCTAGGAGAGCTGGTATCACACAATTATGTCAACCTTACAATGTGGGGGTGTTTCAATGTCCAAACTGATACCAGAACACCTCTGAAAAATTTGTCAGGGAGAAGTGGAAGTCAGATCCTAAGCTTGTTTTAGTCCCACTGGCTGTAAAGATGGTGTTTACCTTTCAGACTCTGCTTCTCCTCCTCCTACCTGCTCAGTACTCTATGCCCAGCAGTTGTGAGGAGGCCAATTCTACCAGCTGTATCAGACTCTGCTTCTTCTCCTCCTACCTGCTCAGTACTCTATGCCCAGCAGCTGTGAGGAGGCCAATTCTACCAGCCGTATCAGACCAGAAGTCATGTGGGACAAAGCCTTCTCTGCTAGCACCTCACGCTCCAATACTACCAACACAGAGAGATCAATACAATACCATGCCAATGGCCACCAATCAATTCCTGAACAAACTTCCAACAGGGCTCTAGTATTCTTGTTTTTATTTAGTAAATTACATTCTGTCACCACAAGACAAGTATCACCTGATATCTGTACAGTAAACAATGGGATGTCTCTGGGCTCTGTAAGACTACTGGGATTTGCAGCTCTCTCTAAGCTCCAAAGAAGTCATCATTGGAGACTACTGTACTGTGTGGTTTATATAGCAACACTGACACAGATCTATACCTTTCTATAGCAGTATCAATACAGACAAAATACAGCTCAGTGTAAGAAAACACTGGGGAAAAAACACTTAAGCAGTAGTAATGTTCAACTCAATAACAAAGTTGGTGAAGGACAAAGCTCAAGGACTTGATACCTGGCCAGTTGGAGGTGGGGGGGGGGGGTTGCTCTTGCCCTGTTCCTTCATGCTTAGCACTAACACACTACTGTCTATTTAGAAGTACTAGTAAATGGTTCTTTGAACTTTCAATGAGGTTTTCTGTTCAAGTTTCTGCTGTTGATTGCACTGCTGGGGAAGAAGTCAAGAGCAGGAAATACTTGGCTGCAAGGTAATCTACAGGAAACACACCTGACTGTAGCTTTTATGTTATTGAACAGCACAGCAGTTTGCCATCTAAACCTTCATGTATGGCAGTTACTTTTGTAAACAAATGTCAAGTTGATTAGAAGCTCTAGTAAATAGTGGCATTCTTGATCTTTTCCTAGAGTGCCATCTATTTTTGTAAAGATCTGGAGGAGACTAAGTTGGCTTCATAAAATGTAAACAGGAATCAATTACATGAACTTCTGCAGACAAATCATAATTCATTTCCATCTTCATAAAGTTTTCAATATTTTGTTTTCAGGTATCACAAGTAAAGAATCAGAAAAAAGGGAAAAAAGTAACAGGTACATTTGGTACTCTGATAAACAACAGAATAAATTATTATTATATAATACTAAAGGGGCTAAATCTCCCAAAAACATCTTAATTGTAGGCAATAACTCTATTTCTATTAAAAGAATGCATTTAAAAAAATCCAAAATATACTTAGAAACGTTTAATCTTCAATGGTGAACAAAGTATGTCCATGGACAAATATTATGTTGTAAACTTAAATACTCTGACTGATGGAAGCACCAAAACAATGGTGAACAAAGTATGTCCATGGACAAATATTATGTTGTAAACTTAAATACTCTGACTGATGGAAGCACCAAAACAATTCGTGACCTGCACAGCAAGAGATTAAATTACTATTGAACTGGGGTCAATTATTGATGTGCTGCCAGCCATCTTTCCATTCAATAATACCCACCATCCGTGACTAGGAGCTTCTAAATAATTAATTTATTTGGAGAACTACAATTCAATGAAAACTTGGCATGTAAACACAGTATGGAGTGCTCAAGAATGAGTTTATTTTCTGCCTCCAGCATGAGAGTTCACTGTCAATGACATGTAATATGCTACTTCATATGTGACTAAACATTGTGTGGCAGCAATATTTTACATGGAAAGTATACATCCAGGTCAAACACAGCTGCCAATCCAGTTGTTTGATTTCTTTTTCCTTTTAATATAGTCTTGACAATGTTGAGGTTAATAGACACACAGTTTTGTGGTCTAAGGAAGCTTTGTCCAAATCTTGACCATATTTGGAAAGACTCTTTAGAGGGTCAATGATCTAAGGATTCAACAGAAAATGTTATTATTATTTAAAAAAAAAAATGGAAAAAAGCAGTTTTTACCAGAAAAGTTATCAAAACAGAATGTTGGGAAGGGATACCCCTATCAACAAAACAGCCACTCTCTCTGGCTTTACCAAATGTCCCCAGTGAACAGTTAGTACTGACATAATTGGCAGAATGGGTGAAAAAGATGTTCCCAGTGGGCAGTTAGTACTGATATAATAAGCAGAATGGGAATAGACGTCCACAAAGAGTTGAAAATACCAATGGCATGCTGAGGCATATGCTCTTATTGATCTGGCTACAGTGAACTATTAAACAGATGTTGATTGGATAGGAAGGAGAATTTAAGACCTAAATTACAGTAATGTGTGAGTTCATGCAATGATATAATGGACACATGTTATTCGTATGTTTGTACCACTGATCTTTTCCATAAAAAAATGTTCATTTTCTCTCTGTCTCTCTCTCCTTTCTCAGGTTCATTCAATGTGTAAACCTAACAACATAATTTATTGAGTGCCTTTATCATACTGATATGAAATGAAGCATATTATATTTATTTGATTTCTGTGGAAATAAAGTTACTCACTTAAGATAATTTAATCACTTTCTACTGCTAGTAGTCATCTATCTAACTATAGAGAAGTAGCTTACATAATCGTATTGTCCTATTCTTTATAATACTAACTGTATTTAAGGGATTATTCATAACCATTAGTAAGTATGGGAAAATGGTTGTTTAGCAAAGGAAAATCTGTTTTATGGCCCTTTTCCCCAAAATTGAAGAAATGTCCAGACGTAATTAAGCATATTATAACACTTATAATGTCAAGGAAAGGATCACATACCCATATATTGTAATACTTATAATGTCACCATGGGCGTAACTAGGCAATACGCACGGATGCACTGTGCGTACAATTTTTTGAGCCAATCATGATATTATTCTCTATAAATTTAGTGTATTTTTCACGAAAAATAATCGAAAATCCTCTTCGATTGCAAGTTAGGGTCACCTGAACGTACAAATCTTCTGTATGAATCGTATACGCACCATTGTTCTGACACCCCCCGTCTCGTTTGCTTTCACAGAAATGAGGTAAATAAACAATACTAACTACCTCCAGAAGTCCTATCTTAATAGTCCATCTAGCTGGAACTTCCTTTTCCTCTTAATTGGAGGTTTGAATGCCCTTCAACTCTCAGGTAGCCTTTGTCTTAAGTGTGTCGAATGCACACTCGCTGGCGATATTTATCTCAGATAAAAATCTACCTGTGTTATTTTCAAAGAGCAGCTCCAGCAGACCTGGGGACACTAGATAAAATCTGGACAACGGGCTTTATAAGGAGCCAGAGGAAAAAAATATTTCCTGCAAAGCTCTTAAGAATTTTGACACGGACTTGACCCAGCTTAACCCTCTAAACTAACAGGGTGATATGGGCAATGTTCACAAACAAACAGAGCTTTATCCTGTAACAGGCCGTAGCCGGGGGGGATGGGGGGGGGGGGTTCGGGGGGTTCGAAAGAACCGCCCCTTTTGCTGAGAAAAGGTCCACTCTGGGTAAGATTTGATCTAAGTACATAAAGTTTTTATGGGAAAAGGTCCACTTTTTCAGAAAAAGAACCCCCCTTTTGAAATGGCTGGCTACGGGCCTGTGTAATATAATTGGTTGATTTTGGATGATACCATATATAAGTTCAACTTTTAGAAGATTCATCATTAAGCTGACCATGGATATGACGAATAGGATAGCAAGAAGGTGTAAGAATCCTACAACGATCAACTGTTCTTAAGATTATTTTCTGACAGCTCGGGATAACCGCAACAAACCACATCGAACAAAGGTGCCTCACCGTTATTTAGAATTTAGCTTGATACAAGCGGGCATCATTTGCATATGTTCCCAACGTTTGTATCAGTAAGCCCCTAGTTCAATAAATATACCATTCTAAGCAAGGCTTTTTTCAGCGAGCCCTCCAGCTGCCAATTGGACGGCCGCTGTCATCACGGCCGGCTTACGATTAAAAAAGTCTTGACTTGTCGGGGCAGCCGTGGACGTCGTATGAAAATCCATTGCAGTAATTTGACGTATGAATATTATACTACTTTGTAGTGCACGCTGTTTTTCAGTCACGACGTAACTACTACCTAAAGTTTACAAAACACAATAAAATGTTTCCACTAACTTTAAAATACATAATGCAGAAGTGACAAGAATGATCTACATTCGGTACAAAACACGTGTAGGCCCTAAATGAAATATGACCTAACTTGCCGCCAAATTATGAAAGGGGACACCTTTCAGATCTTTATACGTATGGCACCTGACAAAGCTAATACATAAGAAAGGCAATTTTTATATCTTCGGCGAGAGATTGTTCGCAATCCGAAAGAGACGAGAAGGCAATTTTCATATTTGTTCAAGAGACTTCGTTAACCGAGGATCGGGAACAAGAGATAGTTACCGACCGCAGCGAGACGACAAGCCAATTTTCGTATCTTCAGCGGGAGATAGAGCGTGATCTGAGCGAAAAGAGAAAGCAATTTTCACATTCGTTCAATGGACTTCGTTCGCAGAAGATCGTCAGCCAGAGATCGTTCGCGATCCGAGCGAGACGAGAAGGCAATTTTTATATTCATACAAGGGCGTTCTTTCGTGGAAGAGCGTGACGGGAGATCGGTATCAATTATTTTTAACCCTCTTTCCTAATGAAATTTATTATTAAAAAAAGATTCCATTAATTTTTACCCCACCCCACCCCCGCTCACGGCTTTTGGAAAAGTTTGAGGCCCTGAAATTTTAAAGTAAGATACAGATGGCAATTATGGATGGCCTGTACCCCAATCCCGGAAAAAGTGTTGGTTCTGGGTGAAATAATTTACTGGAACTTAATTATACTGTGGGAATATTTTAAACTTTAAGTAATGATTTTATAAACGGTGAAAACTAAGCTATTATATTTGGCACATATAATTTAAACTGCCCTTTATCTTTTGCGTAAGTCGATCTACATTTAGCTATACCTGGGAATTTTGAAATTCTGTGCGTACAATTTTAAAAGGTCTGGTTACGCCCCTGGTCACGGTAAAGATCCATCATTTCACATCATTGAATTCTGCATTTTCTCCTTGGATAGAAAGTAGGTATTTGAAAATAGTTCAAATTTTAAATGACTGTTACATTTTCTGTAAGTTTTTAATAGTTACAAAATACAACAGAGCAAAGAGGTGTAAATTTACACTGTCAGCACATGATCCAGTGGTTAGGATTATTGTTCCAGTCAATAAATTATTGGGAATTCCTCTCACATAACTAGTCAGAGTTCAATGTAGTATGGATTTTGCTGTAACCTGCACCTTAATTAATAATTCAAACCTCATCCTATGTAAACATTTGTCCAACTGGATTCATAATACATCAACAGAACATAAAAAGGTCTGATTATGTTTCTATTGGTAAAAAGACATATTACTTACTATAAATGCTTCCATAAGTAAGAAAGGCA